AGTCGTGCCACATACAATTAATGAGTTTGATGTAGGCAGGCAGGCAGCGGGTTGGTTGCTTGATTGGATTAAGCAAAATGTATTTTTTGTTTCAAGTCATGTCAAAAATATTTGTTTAGAGTAAAAGTAAATTCAAAATAAAGTTGTTAGTTCTATATAAGGATAAAATTGAGGAATGATAATAAGTTACTGATAAACTATGCATGCGGTAGTTTAACACTAGCTGATCAGTGATCGATAACAGCAAATTTTCGTAACTTAAAAGAAAACAAAACAAATGTTAAGTACTACACTCACGAAAGATCCCTACATGCAAGATCATCTAAACACTTTAAGCTAATTTCTTATCGTTTTCTCCTTACGAAAAATACTTTTTCTCCTACCGCATTTGATGAACTTTTGTTTAATTTTGTCTCTCTTTTTTTTCTAATCCAATGAATTGAAATGCTGTTAACGTCAATTTGAATTTGTTTGAAATCGAATTGACAAGAGTACAACAAAGTTGGATTGGTATTATTTACACGATTATGATCGTAAGATTAATGTAATTAACTGCTTAAATGAAATACAACAAAAAAAAAACTATTGATTATTAACAAATACTTACTCATACATAAAAAAATGCATACATTTAAATGAAATAGAAAAAAAATAGACAATAGATTGGTAGCACATTTGACACAGCATGAAATCGTCATGTTAACGCATTAATCTTTAGGAGCTTAAAACGTTTATTAACTATTATTTACTGATATTGTTGTTTTCATATTTGTATTGTTGTATCTCAAGCGACAAGATCTTAAGCACTGCAACAAAGACAACAACAACAATAAGAAAACGAATTAAGTCAAGAGAAAAAAAAAAGAAAATTGTACTCAGGCATGGGTGGTCATGTCATACCCTATACCAGCAAAATAAATTTTTCTTTTCCATTATAATTCAAATTAAATATTTTCTTAAAAAAAGAGGTGTTATATGGGGGCAGGGAGTTAAAATGGGCCTATTCTTATATTATTTATACAGAATTTCGTCGTGATTTTAGTGTTTATAAGTGAATTTTGACCATTTCATTTTTTTGAAGGGGACTTTGTATAGAGAATATGGTCCGATCATTACGAAAATCTGCAGTATTATTAAGACTTACATAAAATAAAGTTTTGCCGATTCTTAAAGAGATACAAGAACATTTAACATATTTATGAGCATTGTATGGGGGCTTCGTCTTTGGACCAAAAGAAGAATATTTGCAATTTCATCAAATTATATTGACAGACGGACGGACGTAGATCTATATTTTTCTAAATCGACTCAGAAAGTGATTCTGAGCAGATTGGTATACTTTATGGTTAGTGTAAGATCAATATTTTTCGGTGTTACAAATATCAGCACCAACACATAATACCCTCCCCACTGCAGTGGTGTAGGGTATAAGAAAAAAAACAAAATAATCATTTTGTAGTTGAAAATAAAACAAAATTTTATAAAAAACATAAGTAAAAAAAAATATAATAATAATAAGTATTGTACTTGTACGAATCTATTGTATTTTAAAATGCCGCCAGTCATTCGTTCAAGCCAAACTTACTAACTGTCAGTTTATTTATTTGTTTGTTTGTTTGTTAGTTTTGGTTTTTTAAAAGTCAAACTAAATGAGAAAAAAATTAACAAATAAAAATACTCACACACCAACTACAATCAATGTTGGAGTTTTGGAAACAAACGTTTAAAAATTATACACACGAATGAAAATGTTATTGTTGCTATTATTTTTCCATGTTAATGTGTGAGTTGTACACTACACAAAATGGTTTAAAATTATTTTCCTTCTAATCGTCCATATCAGTACCCAAATTAATAAGTTTTGGTTGATAAACGGATGTATTCACATCAAATCCGATGAAACACACCGAGGCCACTGTCGAGTCTGTTGTGCGCTCCTTTTCAGGTAAAATATTTTTTGGTACTCAGGAACTCATTTTTCTGGACATTATTCCTAAGAATTTTCCAATCTGTGTTTGTGAGGTATGTTAAGTATATCCGGAATAATATCACACCCAAGATATTTGGATCTAATTTTCACAAAATCCTGATAATTGCAATAAAAGTGCTCCACAGTTTAACTCTCCTCTCTAAGTAAATTCGCCTGAATCCGCATATCCAATTTTATCATATCATTTTGAGGAGGCTTCTTGTTCTGATCTTGTTAGGGTCACTGGTTCATGTTACCGTTTCATCATTCAAAGTTGCCTTATGTGATTCTCTCATCCACATTTTTAATTCTGCCATGTTGCGTCAAATGGTTTGAGTTCGTCAGGTTAACTGCCTCGAGCTCGCTTCCCTCTTTCGTTGCAGACTACTCCCGAGTGTTCTGTAAGTGTCTCCACATATCTTTCAATGGGTGGAATATCTACACTACACCAGATTATTCAAGCATAAGATAGAATTGGCCTAATTGGTTCTCCTACACAACGGTCAGCACCGATGTGCCTCGTTGATTCTATCCTTTATGTGGTGCCTCCATTCTCATTTCCGGTCAAAGATTACACCTAAGTACCTAACTCTGTTTGTCACCAGTATCTTATTGCCTAAAAAAAACAGGGTTCAATATACATAGAAATTTTTATCCTTCTTGTGAAAAGACTGATTTCCGTCTTTGCCGGGATAACATTGAGGCCCTGCTTAGGCCGTATTCAGGCTTACCCTGCTTAAGGCCTTATTCAGGGCCTCTTCAGCTCTTTTACACAAGTAATTTGGATCCTTTCCCTTTAAAAGTATTACGACATCGTCTGCATAGCAAATAGGTTTAAGTCCTTGCTCAGTCCGTAGGAGATTATTATTCGCGACAAATTGACACCCTGTGGTGTAACGCGAAATACCAATTTCCTGATAGTTATATCGTGCATATCGTAGCTTGTCTATCTGTTCCTTAGCATGTAGTTGATCCACTTACGGGGCACCCGGTCAACATAAAACTGATCTAAGGATTGGATAAGAATATCAGTGTGCACGTCATTGAAGGCATTGATGATGCGAATACATACCTCTATGTTTACAGTTTTTTATCGAGGAATTCACCTATAAATACAGTGACAACTTCGTTTAAATTGGTTTCTACTGCTTTGAGGTCTTTGTCTGGTATACTGCTTTTAACCATGCTATGGACTATCCATTCCAAGGTTTTAAGTAGGACATAAGGCTTATCGGTCGATAGGTTTTCCAGGTTTGGGTATAAATATTACACTTGCATCCTCACATTTAATGCGTGTATATATAAAATTTAAGCATGTGGTGCCTGAAATATATATATATATCATCCGGTACTTTGGCTTTATAGAATGCTCTTGATTTCCTTCTTAACCATACCAGTTGTACTAACTGAGTTAACCTCTTTTTCCCCAATATCGGTTCGTCTATGGCACCAGATTTATTTAATTTAGAGTCCATTAAGAGTTTCATTATCTCCTCCATATCTTCCTGCTTCCTACCCATGTCATAGATCATAGATTTCGGTTGGATATGAGTTTTTATAGCAATTTTTTATCTTTGATACGTCATCTACCTGTTTACAGAAGAGTTTCGAGGGGTCTCGTTTGGCTTTTCGAACGATTTTCTTATATTCAACAAGTTTACTACGATGTTCATCCTAGTATACTGCATACTGTATAGTTTACGAAGAGTCTTCCCAAGGTTCTGGTTCTTCCTTGTTACCCAGGGTTTCTCCTGGGCAGATCTCCGCTTTCGCAACGAGCAAACGATTTAGTCAGGGCACTTGTGAACGTTTCTACTTTGGATTCTATATCCTATTTATTTCGACATTTTTTTTGTTTCATCGATTTAGTTAGTCGCTAAATTTCAGTCTGTAAAGGAGGGGATATATGGGTACACAAGATACCAATATATGTATGTATATTTAGCTAATAATAACACATGCCAACAAAATTTGAATAAGTCGAAATCCAATTATTAATATATACTTTTTTAAAGGACTGTGCAGAGCTGATTCCAGATGTCATGTCATAAAGACGTTATAACTGTGCAAAACCATAATTATTTATAAAACATTTTAAAACGTCTGAAAGTCCAATCTGTCGACTTTAAAGGCTTAACCTCTGTTACATCTTTCTTATATTTTAAGAAATGTTTACTTAATGTAAATAACAATTCAATTAAGAAAACTTTCCTTTAAGATCTTTATAGTCCCATAATGGGATGCAACAGTACTAACCTTGGTGCAAATTTCATCAAAATCGATTTTTTGAGTTTTTTACATTGCCAATATGTCTTTGCGTTGTTACAACGTCTCCAAAACGAAGTTTTTTCGATTTTAAGATATCTTGATGAGATATAGATTTTCTGAGGCCAAATTTGGATTCAGTGCTTATCGTTTAGATACAATGTGAGCAAAAAACATTGAGTTCTACTCATTATTAATTAACTTTTAATCAAAAATGCATAAGGTAATTAGTTAATCGATCGTAGTAATAATCACAGAGAAATATTAATCAAAATAATCTATCTTCCAAATTAGCTAATTTTTTGGCTGTTCGAAGTAAACAAGAAAGATCCATATCTTCTTAATTCGTATGATTTGACAAGTTGCTTTTGGTTTAAACATTTTAAATTATAGATTGATTGACTATATTTGGACAATTTTCTTCTATTTTTATTAATCCTCCTTCACCATATTTATATTAAAATTATTTTTTCCAGTGTAATCACTGAATAACTATATTGTTATAATAAATAATCGTTTGAATTGTTGCATGAATTGTATGTGGGTTTAATTATTTGACGGCATATTTATCACAAAATGAATGGTTTTGTCTTTTTTTATAACTAAATATCTAGCAGATTTTTTTTTGTATGATCTAAGTTTTATTTATTCATATATCTCTTTGGGGAGATGTTTTTTTAATATAAATTTTATTGTTATTTTTTTTTTCTTCTTTTGATGTACGTTTTATTAACAAATTACTTTTATTTCGATTAATTATTGTCAGATTAGTATCCAGTTTTACATCATCACTTCTATGTGCCCGTATACCTGGCTTAACGCCCCAGCAAAGACAACTTTGCACTGAATCTCCAGATGCTTTGATTGCCTTGGGCGAGGGTCATCAATTAGGCGCACAAGAATGTCAATATCAATTCAGAGGTCATCGCTGGAATTGTACACAAGTGTGGAAGAAAGATGTGTTTGCACATGTCATGTTTGTGGGTGAGTCGTGCAATATGTATTTTTTTGTTAAATTAATGGATAAATTTTATTAAATTAAAGAGTTCTTGTAGTCATTACGGGTCATTATTACTAATTACACGTAATTCCATTGGGATATATTGCAAGAACAAGTCATTTGTAATTGATATCTGTTCCGTTACAATTTCATATAGTCTGATACAATAAGTGACCTCCGGTAGGTTAGTGTTCTAGTCTGGTAGATCGGAGTTGGCCCGGTAGAGGCCTAGATGTATTTCTTCGGATTTTATGTGTGTGTTAATATATACATCCTAACTAACTAACAAACTAACAAACTAACAAACTAACTAACTAACTAACTAACTAACTAACTAACTAACTAACTACTAACTAACTAACTAACTAACTAACTAACTAACTACTAACTAACTAACTAACTAACTAACTAACTAACTAACTAACTAACTAACTAACTAACTAACTAACTAACTAACTAACTAACTAACTAACTAACTAACTAACTAACTAACTAACTAACTACTAACTAACTAACTAACTAACTAACTAACTAACTAACTAACTACTAACTAACTAACTAACTAACTAACTAACTAACTAACTAACTAACTAACTAACTAACTAACTAACTAACTAACTAACTAACTAACTAACTAACTAACTAACTACTAACTAACTAACTAACTAACTAACTAACTAACTAACTAACTAACTAACTAACTAACTAACTAACTAACTAACTAACTAACTACTAACTAACTAACTAACTAACTAACTAACTACTAACTAACTAACTAACTAACTAACTAACTAACTAACTAACTAACTAACTAACTAACTAACTAACTAACTAACTAACTAACTAAAACTACTAACTAACTAACTAACTAACTAACTAACTAACTAACTAACTAACTAACTAACTAACTAACTAACTAACTAACTAACTAACTAACAACTACTAACTAACTAACTAACTAACTAACTACCTAACTAACTAACAAACTAACTAACTAACTTACTTACTAACTAACTAACTAACTACATAACTACAATTAATTCTAATGAAATTTTGCCTGATGTTTTTAATGGGATAATATATAGTCCTTTAAATCTTATTTATCTCAAGATTCTTTTGGGTACAAAATGTCAAAATTATATATCTGAGATCCTTCAGTTTTAAACTTATTTAAAATATACATATATATTTGTTAAAAATATGAAATCCTACAGAAATTTTAAAAATTTAGAGCATTTTTGAAGTAACTCCGACAAATAATTGTTTTATTTTCTCAGATATACCAGTTTAATATATTCTTTATATGGGAGGTGCCCGCGCACTATAGCCAGTCCTCTCAATTTATACTTAAATGTTCATATGTATTTGAATGTTGCTCCTGCAGTATTGAGTATTCGCTCTAACCGTTTCCCAGATATACGATTTTCTGTATTTAATTAACATGGACGGTGACACTCCCCTATTTCTAAATCAATTTATTACCCAAATGTTAACATGTATGTCAAAGTTGTCCGTGAAACATATGAGGATTCTAGCTTAAATAGTTTCCCAGATATATGGATTATTGTATTTAATTTATATGGGAGGTGCCACGCACCTATTGCTAGTCCAGCCATTTCTCCCAAATTGTTCACATGAATTTTATTGTTGGACGCGTCAAATTTGAGAATTCTAGCTCTAATTGTTTCCCAGATATAGGAATTTATTTATTTAATTTATGAGGAAGGTGCCACGCCCTCTATTTTTAGTCAGTACCTTTTATCTTAATTTATAATGATACTAAAATGGCTCCGTTGGGATTCTAAGTGTATTGTTTTCTCAGATATACTGCTTATAGCCAGTCCATCTATTTTTTGAAGGATTCGGCGCAGCTCAATCTGAAGGTATCGGCTATTTTCAAATTATGATATTTTTGATCTCATTACTTTTTAAATAAGTCATAAACGTTTTTTTTAATATTTAATTCTATTTTTTATAGGAAGTTTTAGCCATTTCTTAATTTTACTTTAACCCAAATTTTTTTTTCTTTCACAGGATCTCGAGAAGCTGCCTTCACCTATGCGATAGCAAGTGCGGGAGCAGCTCATGCAGTAACAGCGGCGTGTGCCAGAGGTAATATCTCGCTATGTGGTTGTGATGTCCGTCACAAGCCCACATCGCGTAAAGGTTCACAGGCTGGTTTCGATAGTGCACCTGGTGAGGCGCAACAGCCCTGGAAATGGGGCGGATGTTCGGCGGACATAGAATTTGGTATGAAATTTGCACGCAAATTTCTTGATGCCCGCGAAATTGAGGGAGATGCCAGAAGTTTAATGAATTTACACAATAATCGAGCAGGAAGAAGGGTAATATTATACTTCTAGTATTATAACTAAGGCAAATAAATCTAATTAATGTTATATATTTCAGCTGGTAAAAAATCTTTTAAAAACAGATTGTAAATGTCATGGTGTCTCGGGGTCTTGTGTTATGAAGACCTGCTGGAAAAGTTTACCCTCATTTCGTGTAGTGGGTGATGTTTTGATGAAAAAATACACTAAAGCCAAAATTGTTCAAGCCGCCAAAGGCAAAAATGGACTGAAATTAGTTTTAAGCAAGTGAGTACATACAATTAACCAATTAATTTAATTTAAAATAATTTTTCTATAATTTAATTTCTTTTATTTTGTCAGAAAAAATCGTGCCGGCAAGGTTATGAATTTTCCCAAACGCATGGATTTGGTTTATTTGCAAACGTCACCCAATTACTGTGAACGCAATATGCTGGAAGGTGTACAGGGTACTCAGGGTCGTGTTTGTAATCGCACCTTGCATGGACCTCAAAGCTGTGATTTACTTTGTTGTGGGCGTGGCTATAATACACACTCCATACGACGCACCACCCAGTGTCGTTGTCAATTCAAATGGTGCTGTCAAGTACAATGTGATGTCTGTGAAGAGAATTACGAAGAATTCACTTGTAAATAAAACCACTTAAATATAAATATATAAAATAAAATTTAATTTTTTTAATTATTTGCACAAAATTAATTCAATTTATATGTAATTTTGGTTGTAATTATTTGTGTGTATGTACTTATTTTACTTAATTATTATTTCACTATTATTACGTTTATATTATTATTATTAGATGTAGTTTTTTTCTAAATGAAGCTATTGTTGTTTATAAGTTCGAAATAGTTTAATGAAATTTTAACTTATTTTTTTTATAATTAGTTTTTATATTAGATATTGCAACAAAAGAAAAAAAAAACAAAAAGATAACGAATAATTAATACGAATGTAAAAATATAAAAAATCGATGAAAAATATGATATTTAATAAAGAACAAATTAAAAATTTTGAAACTGAAATATGCCAGCAAATCTTTTTTATGTTTTAGGGACTTGGATTAGTGATTTTTAACCAATTAAATATTCATAGTTGGCTTAGTTATGAGGTCAATTATGGATCTCATAAAATTTATAGTGATTTTTGTTTCTATTAAAAGTGTTATGAGCGTTAAAGTGATTTTTTGAAGGGGTCTTTATATGGGAGGTAGGGTCAATTATAGTCCGATATACACCATACAATATAATCTAATTTTTTGATACATAAAACTAAATTGAGCAACATTTTATGACGATTGCTCTATAATTAACAGATTTTTGATCCTCTAAACTTTATTTCGAGGTGCCCCCATATTATGCGAAATCATGTTTGTCCACGCAACTTTGTCAACATTGCAATATTTCGTTGTCGCAATCTAAACTTTATGTACATCCGTTGTCTAAATTTTAACAAACGTGGTAAGCTCACTACTTACAACGTATTTAGAGCTTACCACGTTTGTTACCATTTAGACAACGGATGTGCATAAAGTTTAGATTGCGACAACGAATTGTTGCAATGTTGACAAAGTTGCGCGGTCTACATTACATGTTTTTGTTGTATGTATGTAGTTGACAAAGGATGTTATTGAAAAATTTGGTACCAGGCGTGTATTTTTTTTTTCCTCTGTGTATCTGTGGTCTTCAGAAAATTGATTTTAATAAACATACAGACGGACAGTCAGAAATAGGGACATAGCTTTATCAACTCCACCATCTATAACGATCCAAAATATACATATATATATAGCTATATGGAATCGTAAAACTATTTGTAGAAATTATAAACAGAATGCGCCTTCCTTGCATTCCTCGCGAACCAAAAAAACTGGAAAAGGACAAATATGGAAAACAAAAATAATAATATAAAGTTATGGTGCAGGGCCTAAATAACCCAGTACCGGAGGCAAAAGACTTCTTTGGCTTCCAAGGCGTACGCTGCATCAAGTGTACAGCATGCCATTGGTAAAAACATAAGGATGAAAAAGAAGGATGTACACGGCGAGACCTCTATGCTACCTTAACCTTTAAACATAGCTGATGGTTCCGACTCTAAAATCTCCGATGATAATAACAACACCATCATAGCGAATCCCAAAAAGTATGAAATAGAGCAAATGGTAAAACAGGTAAATGATAGCATAGCTATCTATTACAAAAAAACGGTTTTCTGGAGCACGGAGAAGGAAATTGAAGAAGATGCTTTAGGAAATCATAGTGAAATCTCAATATCTGACAAAGAGGATCAGGTCTTAATTCAGAAATATTTTAACAATTAGTTGACTAAAAATGGATTTTCTAAAAGATCGGTTATACGAGGACAGGTGGTCCTATCCTTATAAATTTTGGTAGAGGGATTTACATCTACATTAAAGTTATTTATGCAGAATATCATCGTAATGTTAGTGTTTATAAGTTTCTTAAGAGAACTTTGTATGGGGGATAGGGTCAAATGAGGCCCGATCATTACGATAAGCTTTACCAATTTTTGGATTGATACAAGAATATTTAACATATTTATGAACTCAAAAGTCCTATTCGGGGGGTACGATTGTATGGGGGCTATCGATTCAGAAAGTGATTCTGAGCCGATTGGTGGGTGTAGGATCAATATTTTTGGGTGTTACAAACATCAGCACAATCACAAGGTATTACCCCACTTTAGTGGTGTAGGGTACAAAGATCTCACCGTTTTTAAATATAAAGTCAAAGCCAATTCATACCTCTCTCTAAGGAACCCCAAGCCAGATATTCCGAAGACAAACTCGTCGGTGAAATCTACCTCGAAGGTAGATGGGCAAAAAAAGCATCGAAAAACGAGGAAGGAGAAGCTAGACGGTGGAAAAGGAAAAGAGTCGCCAAGAGAAGAAACCGGGACGATATACAGCTATGCATTATACGATAACGGTACATAATCCATTAGGTAAAATTCCAATACATCAGTGGATCGCAATCACTTGAGCTTAGCATGTGCGTGATGTTGATCAGGTTGGCATCTTACCAAAATTTGCTAAACAACTTGGTGAAAGTATCCCCACTCCCTGGGACGGCGCTAAGCTGTGACTAGTAAAGAAGAAGGATCTTTCGGTGCTATTAAAGTCGACTGTTTATATTAAAGCATTGGGCAGTAAACTGCCTAATGAGCCAGTGGATTTCAAAATGCTAATGGGTTCCAAAATTCTAAACTGGCCATGGAAAAATGGGATGTACCTGAAGGAACTCTACTTGGACTAGATATCGACCAAAACTCCATGGCTAGTCTTGCCAAGAAAAAGGGTATGATTTATTTCGTCTCTAAAGCTGTAATTTTCAAAATTGGGAAGGAAAGGGCTGTTACAACAAACCCCGATAAGGGTTCTAAAATACCTAAGACGGTGTCCACAGCATCATTAACCACTACTGGTTACGTTGAGCAGTCATATTTCAAAAGCCAGGAGACTACCACTAACTCGCCAGAAAAAAGTGTAGCTGCCCTTTCCAAAATTGTAAAGCTGCCAATTAAAAAGGACTGCTATTCCTTTAGTACCCACTGCATTAATAGTCATTTCACGCTACCCGTAGGAATCAAATCCAAAGATCGAAGAGGTGATCACCAAATCGCTAGAAGACAGTTTAATGGATGACCATGATTGAGACTAAAAGGCATCCGAGTGCTTTCCTTAGATTGCTAACTACCCTCCATACACAAAACCTATAATATTTTCCTTAATTTTAAAGATCACCATCAAATATTTTAGACGCGTTAAAAATTCCTATTTTAAATTTATCCATAACGGTTTATTGATATGTTTACTACCTTTTTGTACGTACACTTTACGGTAATTTTCCACATTGACAAACTACTACTATGAATAACAACCATTATTCCTTTTCTTTAAATAACCGTCATTCTCCTGTCAAAATTATAAAATGACATTTCCAACATTCCAATTGTCAGTTAGACAAAATACTGTTTTTTTTCTGTTTACTTTTCCTTGTGTGTCTCAAATAGTAATGGAATCTTGTTTTTTACTAGACTTACACCAAATTTTCCACAAAAGTAGAGAAAACAGAGTAGTAGAGAGTATTTGCCAAAGGTTGGTTGATAGTTATCAAGTGTCAATAGCGCGGGCGCTAAAGAAAAGAACGGTATATTTTCATTGATTATAAATGTGTATCAAATACATGGAGGGCCAAAGAGTAACAAACTAAATGGCAGATACTGAGCACAAAGTGGTGAATTTGTCAAACACGAAACATGGTAATCATTTTTCACATTTTCGGGGTTTAACAAGCAACCAACATGGGGCCAACAAATCAGTTCTTTAAGGGTAGTTAGTTGGAAAACGGCGTTTAATAAAAAACTGGCTAAAAGTGCCGCACAATTGGGTTGATAAAAATATTTGAAACAAAATAATAAAAAAATATATAAAATAAAAGAAAAACATAACACATACCAACAAACCAGCCAACTACAAAATATAATACACACACACAATTTTCTTCTTACTAGTTTCTTTTTTTTTCAAAAAAGTTCTGCTTCTTTTTTTCGTTTTTTGGTGTATTAAATTAGATGAGCAGCAAAAGAAGAAAAAATCGTATTTATACGTTGTTATAGATAGAGAAGAAAATTAAATATATAGTTGCAAAGAAGTTTAGACGAAGTATAGAAATCGAAGAAAAAAAGGTGTATACGTCGGAATTATAATTGGTGCTTAAAATATTATAAAAATAAAGAAAATTCTTAAAAATTATTTATAAAAAAATATCACAAAAAAATAAAAGAAAATTATTAAATAAATAAATTCAAAATGTTAAAGATGATGTTATAAAAAAAGAGAAAAATATCCAAATTTAACCCACCAAATTAATTATAAATGTATTTAAATTACAACTACAACTAAAATATAACGAAATTTGTACGAAAATTAAGAAGAAAAAGGTATATAAGAAAAAAAAAATACATATAGAAAAATCGGGTTAAGAATATACATACACGCTGAAATTTTAATTTTTTCCCTTGTTAAAATAACGGTAGTGAAAAAGTGTTATGAATAAAGAAAAAAAAAACGGCAAAAACACACGTATTTGCTGTTATAGATACAGAAAAATGGAGTGATTTTGAATAAGAAAAAAAGCGAGAAAATTTTATTTTTTTAAAGAAAATAAAAAATTATTTATTAAAAACAAATTTATTTTTTTTATAGTAAAATTAAAAATGTTATAAACAAATTTAAATTATTTCTTAAAAAAAACACTTTGTGTTTTTGTATAAAAAGAAATCTGAAAGAAAATTTTATTAAGCGGCATATATCGATTGATGTCTTTTTATCGAAAAAAAACATGAAAAATGAAGAAAACTTTTTCTTTTTCCAACGGATGTTGAAAAGTTTTTGTCAAAAATTCTTACTGACTACACATTCTAACATACATATCAACCTACATATACATTAATATTAAATTATATACATACATACATATATAAATATGTATAAGTATGTATATATAGAAAATAAAGTTAATGATTATAGTTCAGGGATGGAAATTCCACAAAACAATTTCGATTTAGTATAAAATTACTTAAAAATGTTTTTTGCAGGATCTTAGTACTTATTTATAGTTTTATTATAGACAAAAATCGAACAACTTGAAATTAAATTAATAGAACATTCAAGGTTTGACTATTGGGGTCTATTATGGACCAATGTTAGTGCAATATACGCTTATAGCAAATACTTCAACATTTAAAGCGTCGTTTATATAATAAAATGAATTTCGGAAAAGGCCTAGTGTGGTCCAATAATGCACCGATATTTTTCAAAATTTAGAAAAACGATTAAAGTTGTTAAAAAACTTTTATATTTCTGTTCATTCATAATACCGAAAAAGGTTTCAGATTTAAGAATGTTATGGTATTTTTCGGAAGAAGGCACTTAATGGATCAAAACTGAATCCATTCCCGTAATACTTAGTTCAAGTTATAAACGTTAAAGTCAATTGCGTATAGTGTAGCAGAATTGAACTTTTTTGGAATTTATATCAGGCATTTAAAAACGGCTTGTCTGGTCAAATAAAAAGCGGTACCTTGGGTAGAAGTAGGGCACCTTCACCATGTAAAAACGCCTACTATCTTTTTGTTTAGCTTCCGATTTCAAGATTTTGCAAAAGTACTTAGATAGATCATGAAAAAACATGATAACCTTGTACAACTTTCTTAAAAATATCGGTCGTAATTTTGAATTTTAACACTCAAAAACTGACAGATTTTTGCAGTTTTTAGGGCGAAAGTTGACTTAAAACTTTGTTTATAAAAATAAGAATTTCTTTAAGAACATAAATCAATTATATATTTTTCTGAAACGCAAAACATTTTGGTCCTATTTACCGGATATGTTGCCTTTATGATGTTCCGAAATTTACCTTTTTTATGAGAAAAATTAAAAAAAAAAATATTTTTTTGGGATTTATGTTTCGCAAATGACCTATAACGGAGACTTCTTTCTATCGTAGACCAAGGTTTACATAATTTAGATAAGGTCGAAAGGAGGATATACAAAATACGCCTAGGTCGCTATCAAGCTCCTTTATATGGACAATATTTTGGTGGATAACCTTTTATAGCGGTCTATGAAAGAAAGTATTGTCCAATCTTCAAGAAATCAAAATTTCCTTAGAATTTCCTAATCAGAATTTATGAGCAATGTAATTTGTGGAATAATACGGATCTTTTAAATAGGGACCGATCATTAAGAAAATGTGAAGTTTATAGAACATTGTATATATGATTTATGCAGGAGTATTAGTGTAAAACATAATTATGAACTCCAAAACCCAATTTGGGGAATCCAGCTGTGTGGTGTCTATGTGAAATCATAAACCGATTTTAAACACAATTACAGTGGACGTCCACTAGTACGAATTATATAGTGTCAGGCCCTTTCGTAATACCGAAAAATTCGTATTATTGAACAACACATTTTGTATGTTTAAATTCAAATAATACACATAAAATATTGGATTTTATTTATTTTTGTTATATTTTTCATGAAAAATTACATAACGGAACAAAATATAATAAATGTGTATTATTTTAAACAAATTTCTTGTACATAAACAGGCATAAAAGGGACATATTTACGTATATGAATTGTTAATTTTGAAAGTATCGTGAGTCCAATGGTTGAAATAAGATATATGTAGAAGTTTTAAAATTTTAATGTTTTTAAAAAGATGTGTGCCAAAGACAATTTGCAATTTACATATGTGTTCTAAAATGTATTAAAATGTTCAGATTACATAAAACTTTTATTAGAAACTTGAATGGAATATACCACAATTCTCTAATTTATAATTTTCTCTTAAAAATTAGAAAAGTTATCCTTAAACCCATTGTTTGGAATGTGGAGTCACACTACTTTCAAAATTAACAGTTCATACATACATATGTATATAAATATAATTTTACTTATTAAAAAATCCATCATTTAACATCGATGTTTATTACATTGTAAAATGATTCTTACGGCTTTTTCAATAACAGCACTTTTGAGGCTTCAATATTGTTCTCAGCAGAGTTATTGTCGGGAACTTATAAAATACTTTCCTCATTGGCGTTATCATCCAATTTAATTTCTTCTCTTGGGTCATCAAAATTCCAATAAAATAAATTAATAACACTAAATAATTGTTGATTTGTAAATATACATGCAGTAAATTGTGTGTATAGGATTTTTAAAAATACAAAACACTTGTAATAAATACAAAAAAACTTAAAAATTACTGAGCTTAAGGTGAATGATACCGAAATAATAAAATAAAAACATAATAAAAACTTCATTCATACATAAATAAAACCAAAATTCCCATAAAAAATGCGTTATTCGTACTATCGAACAGAAAAATTGTGACTTTATTCGTACTATAAAGTAGACAATGCAACAATTTTGCCATTCGTATTATTGGATATTCGTAATAAAGAGTATACGTACTATTGGACGTCCACTGTAATTGGATTCGTCCTTAGGCCAAACCATTGAATTACAAGGTTTACGTCGACGGACAGACAAACATATCTCATTTAACAGAGGAAATAATTGTAGAATGCGACCTACCCTTCCCATTATAGTGGTGTAGAGCTTAAATGATAAACGGCGATTTATTCCACGCCCGTTTTTTAATCCATTTTAATAAAAAATTGTTCAGTGACGGGAATAAATTGATGATGATATTAATATAGGTATTTTTGGATCATATTTTCAGAATGCCATTTCTATGGGCGTTAAGAAAGGGGCACTTGAGATTAACAAGTTTTATACTGTTACTAGTGAAGCGCGGTATGCTTCGCAGGCCCTTTATTGGTCGTGTGTACTCTCTGTGTAATGATGCAAATAACTTCTAAATTTTACAATTATTGGTTGGATCGATTAAGTGTAATTGTTTTTTTCACCTGGGTTTTCGTATTCCAATCCTAACACATAGAAATATTTGTCGTAGTTCGACATTATTCTGCGACCTTATTAGAATTTAAAACGTCTATCCATGTTCGTCAATCTGTCTGTTAAAAGCACGACGGAACTAGGATTCTGAATATACTCTATGGTTGGATAATAAAAATGAGCAATATAGGTCCACCATTTAACCTAGCCCCCGTAAAACAAACTTCCTGCAGTCTATACCCCGACACTTTCGATGTGAAAAGATTTAAATCAAATGTTCACGAACACTATTCCCTTTCATACACAATGCACTGCATAAGTCATAAGTCTTGGATCCGTACTGGTCCAAAAATGTGCTGGCGTTTTACAGTTCTCTCCGTACAAAAGTTGAAAGAGTGATTACTTTATTGAAAGAATTGGTGTAGAACGTTTTATACAATGTTCATCCCTGTACTTTTATTTTAAAGTCTGATCTTAATGTAAAGTTATTTTCAGAAGGTCACAATATATATGAGATTGGGTCAAATGTGGCCCGTTAATAATAATGTATTTATGACTGTTGGCCGATATTGGCCATTTCATATACGACACAATCTTTATCAATGGAAATATATCTCAAAATGTTCAATCCCCTAATACTACCAACATTGTTATTACAGTTGTAGAATGTGTTGAATTACAACGCTTAGCACGTTACAACTTCGATTATGAATTGGACAAATATAACGTGGTGTTTTAGAATAGTATAATACTACCATCCCTGCACTATATAATTACACTTACATTTAAAACATATATATGTATGTATATATCCCATACATATAAATATGTATGGTAAATGTTGATAATTTTTCTCGTAGGATTGTTGAACCATTTCGTAGAGCTTCAAAAAAAAGTTTACAAGAAAATAGAGGAACACAAAAAGAAAAAAAAAACTCGCACATAAGTTTTTTTGTTGGTTTCGTATAAAACTCCTCTCGATGCGCTGTACAGAAGTGCGTAGTGTACAAGGCGCACATACACACAAAATTATATATAAACAATATTACTCATACGTACATTACGCTCACGCATACATTGAAAACAACTTATGTAGTATCTATGTGAGTTTTATTTTATTTTTTTTTTTAACAGGAGCATTAATGTTAAGAGCGTATGTTTGTATGTATGTACATGAATATGTATTGTATGACAAATGACGATTATTTTCGTACAAGTTTGAGTTTGTGTCTCATTGTTAATGGTTCTTCTTGGTGAACAAGTGAAATGTATGTCAGTGGCTTTATAGGGAATACATGACGACGTCAACGTTTAAACTTACGGTAACGCCAACAGCAACTGCGACGACAACGATGACGTTGTCGACGGCAACTTCGACATCAATATTGATGTTGTTGATAAAACATTAAACAAGCATGTATAATCACAGAAATAAAATCGCTTACCAAAGGACTAAAAAAAATTTTCAAAAACTCATATGAATATTATTATTGTTGTTGTTTAAAATATTACAACAACAAGAAATGTGATATAATCTTTCGCAATTCAAAACTCTGTAAAAACAAGAAAAACAAAAACAAATAAATATTTATCAATATTTATATGTAAAAAACACATACACAGCAGCAGCAACAACAACAAAAAAACTGCTTATAAAAGATTGTATTTTTAATTAAATCTACACTCACACATACATACACCATTTCCAATTGTGACAAAGAATGTTTTTTGTATCCGTTTTTTTTTTTTTTGATGAAATTATTTCTTGTTGTTTGTTTGCATATTTTCACTAGGTCAAGAATATGTGTCACACATACATTGTTAATATTAGACTATCCTTTACAGTTACAAATAAGAAAAATTAAAAGTATAATTGTAATGTATACTTTTAGGCTGATATTATACGAGACAAAGGAAATTCAATGTTTTCGGTAAATTTGTATGAAATTTAATTTATCTTAGACAATGTATGTTTAAACGATTTATTTTAGGTATCATATGTATATTTGTGAGTCTATGAAAAATAAGTAAGAAACTATGTCTATGTAATTTTCTAAATACCTTATAAATTTTGCAATAATTGATTTGACTGTTTAAGGATAATTGTTGTTATTTATATAGATATTTGGGGGGTGTCTGGGGTACGTACATAGGTTTTCTTATTTCATTCCTAACACATAGAAATATTGGTCGTAGACCAACATTACACAGCGGGAAAAAGAAATATACACGCCCGTTACCATATTGATACTAAAGAGTTTATAATTTTTCAATAACATCCGTTGTCAAAGTATATACATACGTACGACAACACTATGTAATGTTGACAACGCAACGTTGTCTAAATATTATCAAATGCTCAGTATTGGCAACGGATTGTTTGTCAATAGTGAGCTTACCACTATTGTTAACATTTAGACAACGCATGTGTATAAAATTTAGATTTCGACAACGAATTCTTGCAATGTTGTCAACATTACATAGTGTTGTCGTATGTATATAATTTGACAACGGATGATATTGAAAAATTATAAACAGTTTGGTGTTAATTTGGTAAGACGGCCTATCTATGTCCCTTAAACTGTCTGTTAAAAGCATGCAGAGCCTTTACCGGTAGAAATAGGCGTCTGAATAGGTTCACCTAGCCCCCATGGACCTCCGAAACACAGTTTAAACACTCATTAATACATTGATTGGGCAGATATCATGATTAAATTTTACACTATTTACACTTGTAAGCATAAACGAGTTCATTAATACAAAAAAAGTCTTTGTGATATAGACCATTCCTGGTTTAAATACTTTGCATAAACGACGATATCTTAGGAAGTGGTCAATTGTCAAATTATGGGCACGTATTTTGATATTATTTGGTCATAACATGAGTTGAAATCGGGCCACCAAAAATATGCTCTAAAATTCTGGTATAATTAATTCCTAATTTTTCCAATCAGTGTTAGTAATTCCTAATAATCTTCCAATCAGTGTTAGTCAGGAATGTTATTTCCAGAACAACATCACTTCCAAGATACTTGGATGTAACTTCTACGAATGCCTGACAGTGGCAAAGAAAGCGCTCCAGAGTTGCACTGTTCTCTCCACATGCTTTACATTCGTCTGAATCCGCACATCCAATTCGCCCTTTCGTTGCCTACAACTACCGAGTGGCCTGGTACCCATATGATGTAAACCTTACCTCTGGGAGAGTATTCAGTTAAAGGTTTCTTACAATCCAATAGGGTCTTAGATTTAATTCTATCACCTGATATCGCCCTAATTGCCTTATGGCTGTCGGTAAATATATTTAGCGCTATGGGCGCCATATTTATTCTAATCCAATTAAAGCATTCCGTTATTGCTTCGACTTCTGCATTGAAGCTTGTGTTATGATTAGGTAAACGGTGGTATATTTCAGTTTCTGGGTTTTCAATATAGATCCCAGGCCCACTTTGTCCCCCAATTTAGAGCCATCCATGTAACAACCGATTCCTATTGGTATTTGCTCTAATGTTTCGTTTGACCTAGACATTCTATCTGTGATCAGCGTTTCAAAATTTCCGACATATTCTGCGTCTGGTATGCGATCAGGCACGTCCGATGATTGTGTATAAGCTTCCAATGTGTTCAGTATATATTGATGATGTGTCCTGTTACCGCTTTACGCCAGTTCGCCTTAAGTAAAGAGCCGTTCGGTTCTAAGCACCGCCTCATATCTTAAATATGTTTCAATGGGTGGAATATATAGCAACGTTTCTAGAGCTTTGATTGAAGTAGTACACATGGCACCACTTATACCCAAGCAGAATGTAAGCTGAACTTCCTGTAGTAATTTGATATTACACGTTTTGTCTAAAGCAGTCCACCAGATTATTGAAGCATAAGCTAGAATTGGTCTAATTGCACTTTTATAAAACCAATTTGTCTTAGAAGGACCAAGACCCCATTTCATGCCTTTAGTTCTCCCACATATCGCCCAGCACGGATGTGTCTTGTTGATCCTTTAGCGGGTTCTTAAGTAATTCACAGATCAGTAAACATACTAGTTACTATACTATTCTAGTCAATAGACAAGACGATTGACCACTTAATATACCAGTCAATGAATCAGCCAATAGACTAGTGAATGGATAAGTCAATAGAAAATTGATGAAACTACAACCGTAGTTAGAATAGCCAATAGAGTAGTCTATAGTATAGCCCGTAGACTTTTCCATAGACTAGTGTAGTCAATAGACTGTTCAATAAACTAGACTAAAGCTGAATCAATAGAAAAGTCTTTCTAATCAATAAAATCGTGTAAGATAGACTAATCTAAAGACCAGTAGTCTAGTCAGTGAATTAATCAATACATTATTCCAAAGATAATTCAATATACTAGACAAAAGAATAGTCCATAAACTGGTCAATAGACTAGCCGATAGGTTAGTCATTAATTACAATAGTAATCGACAGGTCCATATACTAGCCTGGAGATTAGTTTATGGAATGATTAATTGCCGAGTATATATCGCTCATTTACTACAAGACTGGCATAATACAATCGGGTTTTTAAAGTTTTTCATATAGATTTATTTCAAATATTTCTATTATTTTTGGTGTAAGATCGATTTTTTATGGATCGGACTCAACAGAATATGAATTATTGAATATTTCACAAGATGTATTTTAGTCGAATTTCTTCTCAATTCTTTCGTTTTTGAATGATTTATTGTCAATAAACGGATTTTCTGCAAGATGGTTTGCACGGAGCCTAGGAATGTTATATGAGAGATAGTATCAATTCGTCCCCATCGTACTTTCAACAGACAAACGGACGAACAGACGGACATATATCATATATCAATATACCCCCACCCATTCATGATGGTGGATATGAAAACTTTAATGTCACAGTTGAAAATGGTGTAAATAATCGTATGTTTAAAATATTTATATACAAATCTTTTTTTTCAGCGTTATGAAATTTGCACCTACAATTAATAAAAATATTAAATAAATATTCTTTTTTGTTACAATTGTGTGTTCTCGCCGGTCACCGATGTATAAAGATAATAAACAACATCTCCAAATTATAGAAAAATCTAAAACCCAATATAGATAGTTACTAAATGGAATGAAATGCTTAAATTTCAATTACATTCTAACGCATACAACCATTAAAACAAAGCAAAGCATTTATTCAAAAATCAACAAAAATAAAATTAAATAAAAAAAACGCGCAACGTCTTAGACAAATAAGGAAAAGCTAGAACGAAGCATAAAATAAAAAAATAAAAAAACAAATCAAACAAACAACAAAATCCCCTTAAAAATTTTTCTTTCGATCCAAGGTTTAAAAGAAAACATTCAAAATTCACAGACTAAGCAAAGCAGGTGAGTAAAAGGCATTTTTTTTGTTTAAATATTTGTATTAAAAACAAATAAATAATAAATTCATCCAATTCATAACCATTTAAATAAAAACAAGTAGAACAAAATTATAGTTAATTAATTAATTTTAACACAGCGCCTGGCCACATTAGTATGGACAGTATATACGTATTTCTTTTGTTTTTAAATAAGTCACATTTAAAATAGTTTTCAAAACACCTAAACACTAGACTTTCCAACACGTTACCTTTTTCCCAAATAAATTTACATGCTTACATAATACATCATTTATTCTTAGAGTACTTACATACATACATATCTCTAAAATATTGAATATATTCTAACATCTTATAAATCTTAGTTATATACATACATATACAAAATTTTGTAATTTGATAGTAAAGTTGATTTACATATATTAGACTTAGTTGAATATATATTTTCTTTACTGTTCAGAGAAATACTTTTCTGAAAGTATTTTCGATATTGAACACACCATAGGCTTGAGAACGTTGACAATTCCAAAATGCGAATGTAAAAAAGTTAAAAAATTTTAAATTAGGAAAAACTTAAAAATCCGATAAAAAAGATTATTCAGACTTTTGTCTATTTCAAACTGATTAAGAGCAGCATCATATAAAATAACTTATAATGTTTGTAATGTTTGTAGTTGTGGTCCCATTGTGATAACCTAGTGATCGTAGGAATCCATTTAAGTATTACTCTCTACTTCCAGCTGGTTTGATTCACAAACCGGCTGGTTTCATTGAATGATGGGCAATAGCAGAGGAAATGAGGTATTGTTACTCTTCCTCCTCATTATTATAACTCCTACAATAGTCGTTATATTCGAGACCCATTCTTCTCGCGTGATTGCCAATTGTACAGAGTCCCGTTATGATTGATACCGGCATTCTTATCTGTTCCCTGATTTGAGCCATTTCATATAGTTATATAGCTATGTATATATACACGGTTGTCAGATCTTACAACGTTGACAGATCTGGTAATGTAATGACAATACACGTGAATGAAAAATTGTTATCAATATTATTGTTTTACAATACAAAGACAAAAATTGTAAGTTCACACTGTTGTTAGACATTCTGAATATTTTTCTACCAATGATGTAAGATCTGACAACCGTCTATACATAGCTTATATCTATTGAAGGGCCCACAAAGAAAGAGCTGTAGTGCTGAATTTCCACAAGAATTTTCCATTAATAAAGTTTGTTTGGAATAACTATATTTTGACACAACAACTGAACCTGTCATTTCGAAAATATTAGGAACAAAAAAATGTTTTGTGTAAACAAATTCTATGGATCTAAAAACATATAAGTCAATAGATACAGTTATTTTGATATAAAGTTCTTGAACTGATGCCCTTTTCAAACAAGTTTTCAACCGATATTTGTGTTTTAAATAATTGGATAAGTAATAAATTTTTTAAAAATTGTGACTCGTGCCCTTTTCGTAATGACCTTCAGAAAATTACTCTAAGGTTTAACATTTACCTAAAACAAGTAAGAAAATATAGTCGAACTGGGACCTATTATGAGTATATTTTAAATTTAATTTTTTTTTGTAACAAACCATTTATGATGATTGTTTTATATAGGCTTTATATTTGGACTAGGGAACCAGAAAAGATTTACATTTGTTTATAATGAAATTATGGATTATCAAGCAATTTTATGAAGGGAGCTATGGTTGAATCCTAACCCAAATTGTGCACATTTTGGTAGAGATACGAAGCTCTATTATTATATTTTACGTAATTATAACCAAAAAAGCCCTATTCAAAGGGTTCGTTGAAATAATGGACCGATTTCAAGCTGTGAACCAAATTATTTATTATAATTTTCAAAATTTGAATCTGTAGAATGCCCAGTAAGCCTTGTATACTGGATGGACGAAGGACAAACGACGTAAATGATTGGTTCTAGGAAATTGTCTCAAAACTTTATGAGGGCTTGTGTTCTATTCCGAAAATCAGCCTGATAAATCAAATAAATATTAAATCGTGGTAGGTTAGGTTAAGTTGATAAGATGTTATATACTACATCAAATCCGAAGAAATACACCTGGGCCACTATAGGGCCTGTTGTACGCTCATTTTCATGGAAAAAAACTGAATGTATTATTTTTCAGTGTTCAGAAACTCAGTTTCCTGGACGTAATTCCTAAGAATTTTCCAATCAGTGTTAATCAGGAATGTTATTTCCAGAATAATATCACTACCTAGATGCTTGGATCTAACTTCGACGAATGCCTGACAGTGGCAAAGAAAGTTCTCTAGAGTTTCGCTGTCCTCATTCGTCTGAATCCGCATACTAACCTCGGACTTGCTCATTTTGAGGAGATTTCTCGTCTTGCTCTCTTTAGGGTCACCCCATAGGATCTTTGTGGTTCTACCCACCATTTCATTATTTATTATTGTTGCGTCGAATGGTTTTGCGTTTGTCAGGTTAACTACCTCGAGCTCCTTCCCTTTAAAGCTATTACATTCGCCTTTTCTTTGTCGACAACTCCCGAGTGGACTGGTACCCATATGATGCAAACCATACCTCTGGGAGAAATCGTGGTAATAAATTTAAAAAAATCATTCGGCAAAATCATACGACTGTATCAGACTATATAAATCTAAGACCGCATTGGATTGTACGAAAGCTGTGCATCATTTGGATACCAAGCCACTCGGGAGTAATCGGCAACGAAAGAATGAAAGTACTCGCTTTAAAAAAAGTGAACTCAAGGTAAAACTACAATGATTCTATGGGCTGGCACAAACGAGAGAAGGACGCGAAGCTTCATCAAAATGAGCAAGTCTGAGGTTAGATGATGGTACGTATTCTGAGTGGAAATAGAGGATTACCGACATGATTCATGTGAATATAGAGCATCTGTAGAGTTCAGTGAAAATCTTCTAGGATTTAGCATTTGATATTTTTATATCATACACCAGGTACAGGGTAGGGTATATTGAGTTTGTACTAATCAACTTCCCGGATTTTTCAAACTTATGAAATAAGGACAGAAGTACTTTAAATAGTAATGTAGGTTCATATTGTACGCAAAGTAAAATATATCCCCTTAACAAAATTAAAATAAACTAAATTAAATATATTATGCCTACAAACTCCTCAACTCACCCAATAATTTAACGATTTAAATATATCCTCAAATTGCGACCTTTAATGATAATTTTCATTTAACCTAAAACGAACAACATTAACTCTTTTTAATTTAACCAATTATAGACGATTTAGTGAGTAATTTAAATTTAACGGTTTTTATAATGTTCGTGGTAAAAGTCAACCTTCTTAAGTCAATATGGGTTAATAGTCAAGTTTTCATTTCTATTTACTACTTGTAGTTTTGTTGAGTTTGTTTATTTGTACTCTTGTAGATACATATCGGTTGTAGTGAGTATTTGGGGGGAGGGTTCGTTTGAATGGTTAATTTTCTTTTTTCTGAAAGATGAGGGTTTGGGGCCCAAAAACAAAAATAATGGTAGACAATATAATACTCTCTTGCGTATGTCTAATTTTAGATCAGTCCAATAATTTTTTATTGATTTCGATTTTTAACCTTATTTCTTCATACGACCGGGGGGTTTATGTTGCAATATGTAAAATGTTGTTGTCTCAACAAAACAAAAAAAGAATGAAAAATTAAGAAAAGAAACTCAAGAACAGTCTGACACAAGCATGCTAATGATGAAGGTAGAACAAACATATTTACATACATAAGTACTTATGTATATAGGTAGATAGAAATAAGTTAGTATATATGTCTTCTATGTATATGACGCTATCGTTCAATCGTCACCGAACGAATCCAGTCAGAAAATGAGAGCCAGCAGAGAAAGAGAGAGTTTAGACATGAAATTATATGTAGCTCTAATAAATAACGGTGACAGGAGCATGCATTGGAAGTGTGATAATTCTCACTTGCCCTCTATGCAATTTCTCTCACTTTCTTTCTTTCTCTCTTTTTTACTTCCTGTTAACTGGACAAGTGTAAATGTAGTAGTAAGTGTAGAGTGTGTGGTGAATTTTTATATGTGGCGTGTTGAATATGCAACTGATTAAATCGTAGGCAGTGGGTGGGTGTTTGTACTGATGGATGGATGGTTGGATGTGATAAAACGTAAAGTTTATTGTTTGTGTATGAATGTATGAATATTTATTTTTCATTTCATTAATGTTTTACTACAAAATACATATTTTCAATTTGTTTAGTGGAATGTTTTGTTGTTCGAATTTTACTTTGCGTTCAACCCCTTGTTTGCCACACTCACTCACTCACTTATAACCAACAACCCAAAGCCGTCCAAGTTTCTAGGGCTATTGAGAGGTTAGTGAGTATTTGAAATTTGTGGTTTGTCGAAAAATTTAACAGCAATTGTTGTGTTCGAGTGCATAAACCTTAAAGGTATTTATTTTCAGTATTATTTTTATGTGTGTTTTATTTATTTAATGGTTGTGGTATAATTTATTGGGTAATTTTTAGATTATTGCACCTTTTTTTGGCGCGAAATGTTGTAGCGTTTCAATTTGGCAGTTCATTGCGGAATGAATGATATATTGCTATGTATGTAGTATGTTCAAGAGAGTGTTAATTAGGAAAATAATTTATTAGATGAACTAGTTAAAGGCCCTTAGAACGTGAGTGTTACTGTTGTTACTTTTGACATAGAAAACGTTTGAAGATGCAATAGTAAGTTTTTGAACTGCAATATTTAGCACGTATAACCATGAATATTTCAGTAGTTAGTACGTTTGTATGAAATACTTTTTCTACCAATGTTCATTATGATGAAATAAATGTAAGAAAAAATATAAGAAGTTTTATTCAATTTGCAGTGGTTTAGTATCAAACATGTTTTAAAAATATTTCTATATTGATAATGCAATAGAGTAATCCCTCTCTATTAAAGAGCATAAAGTTGGAGGATGGAATTTAGAAACTTTCCAATAACAACGCTGTAATAGA